TCTCTCTCTCTCTCTCTCTCTCTCTCTCTCTCTCTCTCTCTCTCTCTCTCTCTCTCCCCTCCACACACCCCCCACCATGAGTGGCAAACTGCTCACAAACGGTAAATGTGACCATCCCGGTTTGTTTCTTCATTAACGGTGCAACGACCGGCACAGAATCATTCATTCTGGGATTTCTGCTGTTCTCTGAGTACTGCTGTTTGGTGGGCTGATTTGCTGAGATTTCCATGTGCTGTGTGCATGCACGTGTGCAAGTCCCCATGCTATGCAAAGTACTGAACATGCGCTTGCTCGATGTTTTCTGTGTTCCTGGGAGGGATAGGGTTAGAATAAGTAAACCGCAGGGGCAAGACGGAAATTCGGACTGGACGGACTACCGGTAGAGGCTAGGGCAGGGACCCAGTAGGGGGCAGGTAGTACACGGTGCGGGTTTTCCGTTAGCTCGGGCAGGCCCAATAAAGGTCTCGTAGGCCCGGTAGCTTGCCGACGAAAAGGTCACGAGTGGTCAGGCCTGAGTCTAGATATCCAGTAGGCTAGATTCATGCCCTGAGGTAAACTTCCAGGCTGCAATAATGTTCCCGCCAAAAGGGAGGAACTCCAGGTGGGCCTAGTACCCCGGAGAGGCAGCGGTAGGCGCCGTACCTCTGCCTAAGTGAAGCTGAGAGGCCGCAGTAGGAGAGTATATCATTCAGGCAGAATGAGTGGACCGGTATCTTACCCGACAGCCATGCTGCTGCTCGGCCCAGACTCCCAGAGGGCAAAGTCGCGCAGAGTGCCGAAGGAGCTGAGGAGCTGTAGGGCAAGGAAGGAGACCTAGCTATGAAGGAGAAGACGTAGGGCGCATTCCTGGCTATGGTGGCACAGGGTGAAGCACCCCATGCCGGGCGAAGGAAAAGGGCAGTAGAAGGGAGTAGGAGGTCAGGACGGGGGAGAGTGAGAGGAACCAACACATTGAGACTCACCTTGGCTATGCTTGACCTTCATTTTCACTTCCTTGGTTGGCGCTGCATCAAGAAGGCCCCAGCATGGGTTCTGCTTGGTCATGGATCATCTTCCGAGGGTGTGGCTATGACAGGCAGGGATAGGACTACCATAGTAGTATTTGCGTTGTCCTTTAAACATCCGTGACGAGCATGGATATTCCGCCATAGCCCTAGGTGCTACAAAAGGAGAGGAGTGAAGTTAGGGCTGAAAGGTGCTTTCTTGAGGTGCTGGCAGTAACGGGGAACATCCCGACATGATTCCTGTTCAGTAATTCATTTATCAAAATTATTGTTGCATTCAACTGATTATTAAGAGGAGGAAGGAAGGAGGAGGAGGAGGAAGGAGGGGGAAGACATCGGTGTAACTTGTGTACTTGTTCTTCTTATTTGATTCCCTGGTGTCTATTCCACTCTTTATCGCTCCCCATCTCTTCTTTTGAATTGCAGCAAGTCTTTCAATTCTCACAATTTGAGTTTCGCACTATGGATGGAGTAGGATCACAGCACCGGCGTGAAATCCGTTTTGCTTACCGCCGATCTGCCAATCTGGCCGCAGAACGCACAACCATGGGTTCCATCTCCAGAAGGTGTTTCATCATCTTCGCTGGAATCACTTTCGTCATCATCCTCCTCGCTTGTGTCTTCATCACTGTCCTCAACTCTCCCATCAGTCATGTGTTCATCCTTCAAACACTCTGCACTGGGTTTTCCCTTGGGCTCCGCAGTCCCTATCTCACAATGCGCTTGCACGGGGAGTTCCATAGCCTTTCTGGAATCCTCCCCTGTCCCCTGCTGCTGCCGATCACTGATCATAGGATCCACACAGCCTACAAGCCTCTGAACCAAAGCCACATGCTCACTTATATGTACACCCCCAAATCTATTCTTTACACTATCTGGGCTAGATTTACCTACTGAAGGACCCAAATTCTGACACATTCCTGACGACACCCCCGTAACCGCAACCTGTTGGTCTCCAGACCCACCTCCTCCAGTGAAGGGCACAACAGCTCCATCTTTTCCGCCGAGGAACCGCCCCTCCGCCCGTCCTTGAGCTGCATTCCTCCCACCCTCATTACCCTCACTAGGAACATCTTGTGTCCGCTTGGACATTCCAGACACACCCATACTTGACCCTATATTTCCATGATTACCAACCCTATCACCGCCGCTGTCCCCACCGTTCCGACCCTTGTCGATTTCCTCCGCTCGACACTTTTCACCCTCACCACCACTCCCACTCGCACTTCCGGTGCTCCACCTGCGATTCGCCCACTCCGTGTCCCTCTGATGCTCGTCATCGCCGTCTACAAACTGTGTCAGGTCAAACTTCTTTTTGGCCGGAGGCTCCTCTGAGATCATGTCTGTCTGTGTGTCTCTGCCCTTTCTCTTCAAGTACACCTTCGCATTGCTAGTGCCAGTCTCTCCAGCATTACCACACGCCTGCAAGACAGGCTGATCGACACCTACTGCCATCGCTTCCATCATGCTCGGAGAAGTGCATATCCTTGATTTTGGCTGCAGCAAATAGTAAGTCCAGATTGCAGCGCCGAACAGAAGACACCATTAGAGGTTAGCAGAGCGGCTTGCATACATGTATACAACCAAATGATGAAAAGGTGAAAACCCCTCCCTGGCTGAACACAGCAAAACAGTAGGGAACCAGGTCACGCACGAGCTCAAGTCTTGGGGTGGACCTCACCCCAAAAGGAAAAGAAAGACATCAGAGTTGTTGGATTACTTCTCTTTTCTTAGGATTTGAGTTCAGGTCTGCCCATCAACAGCTGATGGGTGCACCACTTGGCTTTCTTCTTTCTTCTTCCCCTCGCTTTCCCTCGTTCAGGTTTGTCATTTCTCACCGGATGTACATACGTGGATGTGTTGCTCTTACCACTCCCCCTAGTAGACTCGGGCTGGAATTAAAAAAAAAAAAAAAAAAAAAAAAAAAAAAGATATATGCTATTATGCTGCTCTTTTTCACTGATGTTGGAATACAAGTACATAGCGAGCCAGCTGCTTGGATTGAAAAAAGTCATGCAACTGTTAGGAAACAGGTCAGGAGCTCAAACCTTGGCGGCAGCTCGCCTTAAAAGGAAAAGAAAGATCGCATGTGTTGCTTTCTCACTTCTCTTCTCAGGATAGGAGCTCAGGTATGTCTATGAACGGCTGACGGGTGTACCGTTAAGCCACGTGGACTTCTTTTTTTTCCCCTTCGCTCGTTTGTACCATCCAGCCCACGCAGCATCACCCACCTACCTGAGACTGTACTGGCCAGCCCACATAGTACCATCCAGTCCATATACTACGACCCACCCCACGTAGTACCACCCAACCCACATAACATCACCTGGCCTATATAGTATCAACTGGTCTATGTAGTATCACCCAGGCCACATCGTGTGACCCACCCCACATATCACCACTAACCCACACAGTATCACCTATCACCTGGCGTATATAGTACCACCCAGTCCACATAGTATAACCCACCCCACACAGTGCCACCCAACCCACTTACTCTCACCTACGCCACATAATAACACCCCGCCCACGTAGTTCCACCCAGTCCCATGTAGTTTGACCCGCTCCACATAGTACCCGTAACCCACATCCCATATGGTACCGCCCAGTCCTCATGGTATGACCCACCCCATGCGGTACAACCCAACCCACATATAATCAACAATACCACAGAATACCGCTCAGCCCCCCACATAGTACCACCTGGCCATGACAAGTGCCGGATTGTGCCTGATGTTGGGAAATGTGTTTTTTTCCTTTTTTCCATAGCCTCTGCCGCATTTGCGGACGGCATCCGCTTGTTACATTAAAAAACAGGTGGCAAGTCAACCACTCAACTGCCTCACTACCCCATTTCCGGGTAGTCAATTACCCTTCAGTCCTTGAATGAAAATAAACTAGATTTCTCCCAATCCAAAATCATTCTGAGATAGTCATTCGTGCTGCCTTCTTCGCCCAAATACAACGTATGATCATAATAGCTGCCTGTATTTGGGCTATCTTTCAGTCCAAATACAGAAATAATGACAGTACATTCATTGTATTTGGATGAAGAAGGTAGTTATTGTAAAATGATCAATTTCATTCTGGCAACACAATTGACAACAGCGCCCACAAAATGACCAAATGGACCCCTAAGGTGGTTTTTGACTCCAGACGTGGTTTTGATATGCAGCATCACATTATTGACATTCAACAAGCCTGCAAGATCTCCGCCCATTGTAGTACTCACAGAGCATGTCAAATACCTCGACAAGCATGAAGAGAGATTTCAATTGTCAAAACATCAAACTAGCGCATGGACATCCCTACAACCCCAAAACAGAATGTAGACTGTGTTCAGTATTGGAAAGCATGTCATTCCAGTAGGGTGGTTGATCACTACTTTTCCTCACCTGGATACCAATCTCCCATCTTCATACCACTCTGCATCGGCAACCAGAGCCCATGCATGCATTTTTAAATCCTATCCCTTAAGCAGCATTGGCCGCAGGGGGGAGGTCCATGACGCGCTGCGCGCCGGATTCGGGTCGAAATTTTGGTGAGGGGCGGCGGATGAAGGCGATCAAGGGCGGGGAGTGTGTGCAGAGGGGTGTGCGTACCGAAATGTTCACAGAGCGCCATTAAACGAGAGTGCATGCCCCGGGGGCGGGCCACACCGCTGGCGTTCATGCAGACAAACATCTTGGAGGCGAGCCATCCGATATGTGGGCGGCTTTTTTTTGGTTTTGTTTTCCCCGGTTGGCCATCGTTTTGTGTCCCCCCTTTTCTTTGTTTTCTTTTTCTTTTCCTTCCTTCCTTTTTCATTTCTCGCGAGGCTGTCGTTTTGTGGCCCCGGTAGCCCGTCGTTGTTTCTGCGGACAAACATCTTGGAGGCAAGCCAACCCAAATACAGTTTGTGGTCACCCATTGCATTTGTTATTTCTGCGGCATAGCCCACACCGCCCGCACCGCGGCCGCTTAGCTAGTCCAGATTATCTGTAGTTTGTAAGTGAGTGCCCGAAATAATGAGAAGGAGAAAATCACAACATCAGTACAAAGTACATGACACCAATTTCTGAATGCTTACCTCAGCGGATGGCTGCGCCCTTTGTTTTCCTGGGGAGTACACTGTGCGAACTCCTGTGGTCGCAAAATCCCCCTGGGTAACAAAAAGACACAATTCAGCACATTTCTCTGGATACTCAGAATTCCATACCTGCATTTCTCCAGCAGCCTCTCAAGGACATAGGTACCACACACAACCTTCACATTATCTATTCTTTGAACGTCCAACAAACTGGCATTCTGTCAACTGCAAGAATGCTATCTCATGGAATGCGCTTGAGTGTTGCCCTCCAGGCGATACATAGAACCATCATATACGAGAAGCGGAATAAGAGAAAGAGCGACGGAGAGACAGCGAGAAAAAAGGAGAGGGAGCGGGAGAGAGAGGGAGAGACTGAAAGAGAGCAAGAGCGAGGTGCAGAGAGAGAGAGAGGGGGGAGAGAGGGGGGGAGAGGGGATGAGAGCAAGAAAGACGGAGAGAGAGGGAGACAGAGGCAGGGAGAAAGGGGAAGATGAGGGGGAGAGAGGGGGAGAGAGACTGAAAGAGAGCGAGAGCGAGGTGCAGAGAGAGAGAGAGAGGGGAGAGAGTTGGGGAGAGGGGGGAGAGTGGGGGAGAGGGGATGAGAGCAAGAAAGAGGAGAGAGAGGGAGACAGAGGCAGGGAGAAAGGGGGAGACAAAGCGAACGGGAGCGATAGGGAGAGATGAAGAGCTAGAGATCAACAGGAAAAGGGCCAGAGAGAGAGGGAGAGAGAGAAAGAGAATGGGAGAGAGAGGGAGAGAGAGGGAGAGAGAGGGAGAGGGAAAGATAGGGAAAGGCGGGGGGTGATGGAGAGGGAGGGACGTAGAGGGAGACAGAGAGGGAGACAGGGGGACAGGGCGAGAGGGAGAGAGGAGATAGGGACAGGCAGACAGGGAGAGGAAGGGAGAGACATGGAGAGGGCAGGATGGAGAGGGAGAGAGGGCGAGAGAGGAGAGGGGGGAGGTGGAGAGCGAGAGGGCTACTGGAAGAGCGGGAGAGGGAGAGCAGGTGAGAGCGAGAGAGGGAGAGTAGAAGAGCGGGAGAGGGAGAGTGGGTGAGAGGGAGAGTGGGAGAGTGGGAGAGGAAGAGCACGGGAGAGGGCGAGAGAGGGAGGGCAGGAGAGCGGGAGAGGGAGAGGGATTGGAAGAGCTGGAGAGGGAGACAGGGCGACATCGAGACAGAAGGCGGGAAAAGGGGAGAGAGGGGGAAGGAGGGGGAAAGAGGGAGGAGAAGGGGAGAAGGGGAGAGAAAGGAAGAGGAGAGAGGAGGGGAGAGGCAGGGAGAGGAGGGGAGAGGAGGGGAGAGAGCAAGAGCAAGACAGCAAAGACAGCAAAGACAGCAAAGACAGCAAAGACAGCAAAGACAGGATGAGACGTCAAGAAGAATCCAAGAACAAAGTAACCCTCGATCTTGTCAGATTCATCAAAAAAGACATCCCAATTACTTGCAATTCCAATTTCGCCCACCACTTCATCTCAGGAAAGCCAACCAATCACAAGAGCAGCATCGCGTCATAGAACTTACCACCTCCTCACTTCCCTCAGGTGCCAACAAATCGCTGAAGGTAATTGGCTTCCCTGCTGTCAAGCCCTGTGAGGGTGCTGGTTGAGCTGCGCCGTCCTCCGAAGCATTTGTTGCATCACTAGCCCAAAAGAATGGTTTAAATGAGCCATCACGACAAGGAGGACTGATGCCAGCAGGGCTCATACTCTTAGCACCTGCTGGTCTGCCTCTCTCGCCCCCAGAGGTCATTGTGTTTCCTGGAGGTGATCTGCAGTGGTCCCCACCCCTCCCCGATATCCCAGCAGCAGAGACGCCCTCTCCCGTTGACATTGCAGGCGAGCCAAGGTAATCCGACGGCGGCAGCATGGCCCTAGAGGCTGCGCCCTGTTGTTGCTGTTGTCCAACACCAGGTGCCTTGAACTTCCCACCACCACTGTGCACCTCCACGCCTGGCACCCTGGATTCAGGCCAGGCCATCTGATCTTGCTCAGCGGCTCCCCCAGGTATTCTCTTTGCCAGAGGGGTCATACGCGACGCAACGAAGCACTGCTTGTCGACCTGATCGGACGAGATATCGCCAATCACCACCTCCTCACCCCCAGAGTCGCTCTGCAGTCCCTCAACAGCAACATGGTCAACACGCTTTACCGCAAGATTAGCCGGCCATCGATCTCTCTTCGACGGGCTTGAGAGAAGCAGTGCACCACCAGCTGGTACATTGTCGTCCTCGTCGACCGGCTTCTGCGGTCGCTTTTTTGGCGAAACGACTGCCCCAACAGCCCTCGACATCTTTGACGGATGCACAGGGGGCGATTTACAGCCGGCCCTCATCACAGGGGACCATTGAGGATTCGCTGCGGCAAAAGGAAAAACGGAAAACACAGAGTCGTGTCAAATGAGGATCACTACATGGTTCAAGGATTCACAACCTCACCATCTATCTACCCGTGTTCACCCACCCAGTCATTATCACTGTATCTAGCCTGCAAGTTGCTCCAAATACGGCCATATAATGACCAGGTGAGGACACTCGCTTCAATGAAGACCAGTCAGTACATGGTTCAAGGATGCACAAGCTCACCACCTACCATCTTCACCCGAATGGAACACCTGGTCATTATTGCTGTATCTAGACTGCAAGTTGCCTCAAATACAACTATAATGACCAGGCAATTCTACCGTCTTGACCCAAATGGAACACCCGGGTATTATTCCGGTATCTAGACTGAAACTTCCGTCAAATACAGCTAGAATGGCTAGGCATTCTATACAGGTAAAGACAGTAGCCTATTTTTGGCATCATGCTAGCATAGAGAAAAGGTAAGCTACTCTCAATGCAACAAACATAGACCAATTTAAGAGCATGCAAATGACGATGACGGATTTGCTGGCGAGGTCCTCTCCACACTCCACAGAAGAAGAAAGAAAACAAGAGACAAGCGAACATTTGTTGATGCCCGCTGGGTGGTAAATAACCCCTACAGATTAACAGCTGGACAGTAAATACCCCTATAGATCGACTGCTGGACCGTAAATACCTAGGCTGTTTTTCCGGGCACCCCGGCACCCAACTTATTCCCAGGTACACGCCCGGGTGCCCGGACGGGCATGAGCCCCAGGCAGGGTTCCAGGCAGCCCCAACGCAAAAAAAAAGAAAAAAATCAAAAAATTCCGGAAAAAAAAAATGTTGTGTAGAATTGCAATACAAACGACTTTTGACTGAGAGTCACATTAGAATTTCTCACACAATGGGAGATAAAAAAGAATATAACAGAATCACACTAAGGCACCCCCCTTTAAGCCCTTTTAGCCCCTTTAAAACCAATTTATACCCCCCYCCCCCCCMCCTTGACAGCCAACTCGCAAAAAAAAAAAAAGAGCCCAGATTTGGGGTCCTCTGGGAGAGCGCAGAAAACCAAAAAAAAAAAAACTTTTTGCTTTTTTGCACGCCCGGGTGCCCAGCCAGGCAGGACCGGCCGGGCATAAGAATCTTCCTAGGTAAATACCCCTCTAGACTGACTGCTTGACGGTAGAAACCTCTGTAGAATGACAGCTGGGCATCAAACACCTCTATACACTGCCAAATCACTAAGGACCTTATACAGTTGGTGAAGACGCCAATGTCAAACACTGCCACTGATCATAATCGACTGATCGCAGGTGGGTGGGTGGAGGGATGGATGGTGTACAAACAAACAGACGGAACGAACGACAGACGGGCACACAGACACATAGAGAGACAAGACGAGACAACAGACAGCCAAGCATTTCTTAGTGTAAGCTGGTCGGTTAATACCCCTATAGATTAACCGCTGGACGGTAAATACCCCTGTAGGTTGAATTCCGGCCGGTAAATACCCCTCGACCTCCTTCTAGGTTGAATTCCTGCCGGTAAATACCCCTTCTAGGTTGAATTGCGGCCGGTAAATACCCTTTCTAGGTTGAATTGCGGCCGGTAAATACCCCTTCTAGGTTGAATTCCGGCCGGTAAATACCCCTATAGATCGACTGTTCCACTGTAAACACCTCTATAAACAACAGCCGGATAGTCAATTTGTCTATAGATTGGCAAATAACTAAAAAAATATGTCTATAGATTGACAAATAACTAAAAGATGTCTATAGATTGCCAAATATAACTAAGGACCTTACAGACTTGCTGAATACATGGGCGTGCAGACAAAAAGAGAGACAAGATGAGACAATGTACAGACAGACAAGCATGCACAGAAACGGATGTAAATCTATATAGACAGATGGATTGAATAGTAATCGGCATGCACAGAAACGGATGGAAATCTATATAGACAGATTGATTGAATAGTGATCGGTTGCCTGGTTGTTTCTTCGCTTGAGCAGTTACTCGATTCACTCCAATCGTTGGCTGATTGGCTGATTGATTGAATTATCTGAATCAGCACTCCAATCGTTGGCTGATTGGCTGATTGATTGAATTATCTGAATCAGCTGAATTGGCTGATTGGCTGGATTGGCTGATTGGTTGAATCGTCTGAATCGTCTGAATCAGCTGAATCGGCTGAATCGGCTGAATCAGCTGAATCGGCTGAATCGGCTGAATCGGCTGAATCGGCTGAATTGGCTGAATCGGCTGAATCGGCTGAATCTGCTGAATTCGCTCATTGGGTCATTGGGTCATTCGCTGACTTGGCCGATTGGCTGATTAGCTGATTGGTTGACTTGGCTGATTAATTAAGTATCATCCACACAGCAGTGCTATGATGCACAAAGCATGCTCCAGAGTAGGTCACACCACACGGCAAACCCCACACAACTGCAACACAACATAGACATGAGGTTGATTGATTGATTGGTTGGTTCGCGACTCCCCCTTCCTCTCTCCCATCTCCATTCTGCTCATCCCCTACTTTTAGAGCCCTCCAATGGTCTATGAGGTTGTATGCTCGACTGCAACTCACCTTCCTCTCTTCCATCTCCGTTCTGCTCATCCGCTACTTTTGGAGCCTCCAATAGTCTATGAGGTTGTATACGTGACTGCATCCCTGTCGTGTCCTGAACTTGCGCATATGTCCTCACCATAACATCCACATGTGGTGCTAGTCTAGTATCTGCAAATCATTAGAGGAAAAAAAACATCGTCATCAATCAATGGTCAACCGTAATAGAAATGCCCTCTTAACATGTTTTTTGTTTTTTGTTTTTTTTACAAGAGGTCGAATTGAGGCCGGGGACCTCACAATTCAACCTGGCTCTTTACATGTTTCACACACAAGCAAGTAACGAACGCACAATCAGCTTTAGCTTGGCTTCAGCCTTTCGAACAAACCCGCTGGCTTTCATGGCATATATGGAACATGATACCAACCAACCCCTCTAAATCCAAAGGCATTACCATAACCGAAAAATGGTTCTCGGTTTTCCTCAAGCAGGGAAATATTCCGCATTCCACTACTATCAAAAGTTGGTATGCCATGTATCGATGAGACTGTGCCAGGGATAATAAAAAGAAAGAAATGGAAGACGACGCAGAGGATGAGGCTATTTCACAAGTACTAAATAAAACGCAACTCGCTTTCATCACCTCACAGAGCATGAGCCTATTCTAAATGAAATTGTCGCAGGTAGAATGTCCTTCTGCACAAGATGAAAAAAAAGTAACGATCTATCGAAACGTTGGACATAAAAGCTATATAGAGGATCGTTCCCTCACCTTCTGCCGTTGCATGTATGTGGCAAACCGGGCATATTGAAGATAACATCAAGGACTCCCCCAGGCAGCCACTGGATGCAAATCAACATTCAAAAAAGAGAGATCAAAGCACGTCAGCAACGACAACGTCTTAATATATATTGAAGATAGCGTCAAGGACTCCCCCAGGCAGCCACTGGATGCAAATCAACATTCAAAAAAAGAGATCAAAGCACGTCAGCAACGACAACGTACAAACAAGTCGAAGTCAAAGTCAAAGTCAAAGTGACAGCTAAAGGTTCACAGTCTAACTCCAGTCAGAGCGGCGGCCAGCCACTGGAAGCGCGCGGCATAGATGACAGTTCCCAATCCGGACTGTCTCCCACACAACTGTTCTCCATGCCGCATCCGAACTGGCTCCCAGGTGTACAAGTTAAGACTTAAAAGCGACAGGACGGTAAAATCTGTTGAAGGTTATATTCTGCGGACTGAGCTACGCCTGTATAACTTAGAAACATTTCATTTCATTTCATTTCATTTCATTCATCTAGTTCCAGCAGGATTCGAACTCAGGTCTCCATTTCAACATGTAGTTCATAGGTGTCCCAACTGAGCTATGCGTGAACGTTATATTCTGCGGACTGAGCAACGCCTGTATAACTTAGAAACATTTCATTTCATTTCATTCATTTAGTTCCAGCTGGATTCGAACTCAGGTCTCAGGTCTCCATTTCAACATGTAGTTCATAGGAGTCCCAACTGAGCTACGCCTGGATTGTACCAGCTGTCTAGTTTTGGTATAGCTCAGTCCGCTGGATTGTACTTCAACGTCAGCACCGAAGCTGGGTTATAGCCCTCAGTATTTCGCCTTCTTGTTTTTTTTTCTTTTTTCTTTCTTTTTTTGCAACACAAGTCCCCATCTATTCTGGGGAGTTTTTTGACCGGGTTATTTGTGGAGGGATTCCGCATCAATCTCTTTACTTTAGCAATGAAAGTGAGGTGAGTGTTCAAAAAAAGCTATGTTACCAATGGTCCAGAGATCGGACGTCTCACCCGGACGTCTCCCCGGACGTAGGGTACCCCCGTCGTCTGGATTTCCGGACGACGACTTTTTGGCACTTAAAAATAAAATAAAATAAATGACAGTGTTGCGCATGCCATAGAGACCCCCCATAAAAAAATTCAGAATTTTCTGAGCATTTGGTGATAGGGTGCTATTTGGGGTGGGAGGGKGGGGTACGAGGGGTTTAGGTGGGGATAGGAGGGGTATAGGTGGGGATTAGAATCTTTGAAGATTTTTATCTTTTTTTCTACTGGCTCAAATAAGCCAAAATTTTGGTGGCATACACCTTATGCAAGGTAGAAGCCACATTATTTTTTATTTTTTTTTTGCGCTAGGTCGGACATCTCCTGTCCGGTTCGACATCCGACCAGACGTCCAGTCGGACGTCCCGGACGTCCGATAAAACAACCTAGAAAAAAAGGGGGGGGGGGGGAAATTTACTCGATCAAGCCGGCAGATGTACCCGCTTACCATCTTCACACGAATACAATGGCCGGTCATATCCCTGTATCTAGACTGAAAATTGGACCAAATACAGCTGAAATGACCGGGTGTTGTATTCAGGTGAAGACGGTAGTCACCGAATCGCACACAAATGAAATTGTTGATAAACGGATAAAGAGTCCCAACCCTGTCAAAAAAAAAAAAAAGGGTTCCGATCCTGTAGAACACAATAACGTTAAGGGCTGCAGCTTATTCAAAAAAAAAAAAAAAAAAAAAAAACTACCAGCTAAAAGGGGAGGAGAGGTTGGGGCAGCAAATGCACACGGGACCACCATCTCCACCCAAACACAACGCCCTGCCAGTATCGCTGTATCTAGACTGAAAGTTCCCCCAAATTCAGCTGTAATGACCAGGTGTTACATTCGGGGGAGACGAATGTAGGAGCATCCGATGACATCACTGATATCGGGATCAATCTCAGAAAATGGGGATGCTACTACATCTCCCCCCCCCCCCCCCCCCCCCCCCAAAATAGAGCACACGGTCATTGAAGCTCAGACAGAGGGACTGAGGCAGAGACTAAATAAAAAAATAAAAAAAAATAAAAAAGAAACTCACGCGCAAAAGGTGTGGCCGCACGGAAGATTAGCAGCAGTCTTGAAGAGCTGCAAGCTGCACAAGACCAAGAATAACAAAAGAAGACAAGGCACAAGTCAAAATACACTTTTTTTTCTTTTTTTTTTTGTGTGTGTTGTGTGTGGGGGGGGGGAGAGAGGGGATTTGTTGGATTACGACTCACAGGCTAAGTTCCAGCATCATCATCGGCTAGGGGACTCGGACAGACTGTAGAGGCTTCAGACTCCTGACGAGTAGGTGAAATCCCAACTTCCGTTTATAGTCGTTTTCCTCCCTTTTTTACTTAGTCC